CTGATAAACATACATAAACATACTTTTGTTTTGTAAATAAATACATATTATACATATAGAAACACCCAGACACTAGAAAAACACCATGTTCATCACACAATATTTTTCCAGTAGTGGGGATCGAACAAACACCCTCTGGCGTAGGAGGCAGGTACACTACCCACTACGCCATTCGGGTCGTCAAAAATAATGCTCACTGCATGCTTTCAAATACAATTTGATTACTTTTTATTATTTTCATGTCATTATCAACCTAAGGTGTTACGATTAAATAAATAATCTGTCTTACCGTACTATGCCCGTAATAAATTCTACAAGCAACACCTATTTAATTCCAGGGGCAAAATAAGAAGGAAATGATGTCATAGGCTACTCACTGGACCCGATTTGGAAAAGAAAACATGATCGTAAACTCTCGTTTGACTTAAATCGAAACTATTTTTACGAATCTAAGAGAACCCACGTGTTCATAAAGCTAATAAACCGCGGACCTTTCCGAGGCGAGAGAGACGACCTTTTAAAAGCGGCAAGTGTGAGTGCCTGCTAAGAGAACGTCCGCGGTGCAAGGCATGGCATGTAGCGATGTTGAATAATTTTTGAATTTAATGTGATATGGATTTAACCTGTAACAGTTTAAGTAATAGTGTATTGTGTAAAAAAATACGTCCATGTTACGTTAAGTTTCTCTAAATCTATGTTACGTTTAATTGTTCGCTTAACTGTAAAGCGAAAACAATTATTGTTATATGTTAAATATATAAAATAATCATACATGATAATCAAATTCAACATTTTTTCAAAGATTTTATTTAAGAATTTTTGAGGTTTCCATATAAACATTTGCTTTATAAAAATGATCGCTGTAGAAAATAAATTTATTAGTGTAAGATGTTAACTGAAACAATTTCCAAATCGAAAAAAATCACAAGGAAAAATCTCTAATATCCTGAATAACGTAATCGCCTGGTATACCAAGACAAAATATTTTTAAATAGAAAACTCAAAAAATGTTGTCATTAATTTTAGAAAGCTAGGCAGGCTTGTCCGGGAAAGTACCACCTCACAGAAGACCGGCGTAAAGTGGAAGTATATTATTTTCGTCTGGTGAGTGAGGTGGCCGGAGCCCATTTTTCAAAAGGTTGTCGACACATATGCAACCCTCGGGTGTAGCAGATGTCCATGGGCGGCGGTATTCACTTAACAGGTGAACCCTCTGCTTGCTTGGCATCTTTTCACATAGACACAAGGAAGCTAATTTTGTATATATAAAAATGTAACGTGCATCTAATTAGCGATATCGATAATCATTTGGACCACACGCCCCTCCGTGTGGTGTGCGTGTTTGAGGTCGTTCAACCCTCGGCTATTCCCTCTTCAAGCGATGTTCAGACAGGGATATATTAAAAGCGATGACAGATGGTTTAAAGATGGGAAAGCTTACGTAGTGTGGCTTTGGGCAAGGCCTTTGGCGCGTCCGTGTCGGCGCTTTCTTTGAAACATTGTTTACTCTGAAACCCCTTATTTTTACAAAGTGCACGACAAAACTTGAATTATTTTAGAATTTATATTTTATCAATGAATTTTTGTCTGAAATAGGCCATTTTTTTTGGAGGAAAAGTTAAACGCGAGATAGTCTGTTTGGATTATTTTTGTGAATTTGTATTTTTTTGCTTGCTACCTTTTCGTGCATTTTAAATCACTCTATTTTATTTTTACGAAAGATTTAACTAGCTTAAAGTTATCGTTTGCTATGGCAATCATGTGGTAGGGCCACGCAACGGCTTCTGTTATTGCACGAATGGGCCAGGCTCGTCCGGGGAAGTACCATGACTTCACAGAAGACGGGCGTGAACTGGAAGCGTTATACTTCCGCGGTTCGTCTGGCGAGTGAGGTAGTAGTAAGTACCAGAGTCATGTTGTAGATTTCCATAGGCGCCGGTATTCGATCAACGCCAGGTGAATATTTGATATGTAGCTGGTAATTTTATTTATGAAGCGATTTCATCTAATTATGTTTAGCGCTTGTGGTTTACTCTCATAAGGTTTTAAATTATGGAATTTTGAAAGTTAATAAATAAGTTTTTGACGGCTTGGAAGGCTGACGAGTACATACGTCAGTTGGAGTTTTATTTAAAAATTCAAAATTTTATGATGATAGCTAGTTCGTACCAATACGTTCATAACTTTAAAGTTAATAATGCCAGTGGTCCCTGCACCTACTCCATTATAAGGGGGATTTATGACAGGCATATTTGAAGGGCTATAAGCTAAAATTCAATAGCCACGGAACATTTCAACAAATCGCTGGTAAGACAAACGGTATAGAAATTGCTATAACCCGTTAAGAGAAATCATTGCGAATCGAAAGATTTCTTTTATTACGATATTTCATATATATTTATAAGCGTATACTTTACACTGTAATAAAAATCCTTAGCAGAGTTTATTTCGTATTATATCCACAAAGTCAAAGATTACGACGGAGTGTGGGACGTCTATATGTCAATTTTAATACTGAATATAGTCAAATTTGAAAATGTAGTACTGGTCAATACTAAAAGGATTGTGATGCGAAGTTTTGAGCTTAAGACTATTTTTTTTTAACTACGAAACCTCAAACAAACTTTTCGTTTTTTTCTTCTCTTTTTATTGCCCTCTAGGATAACATTATCCTGTGTGGTAAGGACGTTTTACAAACATAAATTTTATGCGGGCAAACACTCAGATTCGAAACAACTATATGTTGGACACAAACAACATCAAAAATAAGTTAAAAAAATACCTAATATAGTTATAGAAGGCTAATAATTAATGGTTTAATAGTAATAATAGTATTTGCGTTTATATAAATAAGTATACAATTAAAAAAAAACACGAAAGAAACAATAGAAAACAATTTTTTATAATAGCGCTTTTTGTGTTAAAATTATCAATTTTTTCACTCAAGACTTGTTGAATACACGTTATGTAAATTTGAGTCGCAAGTCGATTCCAAGTACATTGTATAGTATTTAAAAAAACCTACTATAGTTTCGAGTCGTCCGTTATTGTCCGTTGCCCCGTTCATTATGTCCCGGAAACCATGTAATAACATGAGGTGCACCGCCTTTCCTATGACACCTTTTATCTTCAGAAACGTAAAAATAAACATGCCACGATTTTATGACCATTTACGTTGGGTAAATATGGTTTGTTCTAGTTTTGTGTTACCTTTTTTGGCATGAAATAAGGAATATTAAAAACTTCATTTATTCCTTTCCGGTTACATTTCTTATAATTCTACTCATACTTAAAGAACTATTTGCCCGATCAGTTCTAAGTCTTTCTACGTCTACACAACGAGTACTTCAGCCAAGATAGCCACATAGCTATAATATAATGACAGTTGAATTTTTCCCCTTCCTAAATTACAATTTTAGACACTGCCGCCTTGTATTTAGTGCGGGGTACAATGACCTCGTAATTATGGTTTTGGAGTTATTTAAAAAGTATCTTTAATTTAATGTAAGAACTATATAGAGTGCCAAAGTTTGACATAGATGTATTATTTCATTTGCGAAACGACATTACGTACTAAACCGGGACCGTAACAACTTAATCAGGTTGAAAATATTAATAGTATAATTGCTAAATATAACTGTGGCAGGGCCACGCAACAGTTTCGGCTGTTGCACGAATGGGCGGGTCCGTCCGGGTTAGTACCATGACCTCACAGAAGACCGGCGTAAAGTAGAAGTGTTACACTTCTGCGTCTCGTCTGGTGAGTGAGGTACCCGGAGGCCAACTTTATTTAAAGATGGTAACGCATTTGCAACCCTACGGGTGTTGCTAATGTCCATGGGCGGCCGGCGTCTATCACTTAACATAAAATTCAAATTTCAAATAATTTATTCATCGAAATAAGAAATATACATTTCATTTATCGATAGTAATTTTTTAAATCTACCACCGTTTCGTAATGAGGTTCCTCTAACGGAGAAGAAACAGGCGAAAGAAACTCCGTAGGTATCCTCTTTTTTTTTGTCATTTTTTTTTACTCAACAAATACATAGTTATACAGTATATATTTTTTTTTTAGAAACAGCTTAGGAGCGATCATCTCATTCCCAGGGGTTATTATCGTTAATGTATTCATTTATATTATAATAACCCTTTGTAAGAGTTTTTCTTTAATAAATTTCTTAAACCTGTTAATAGATAGGCTTTGCAAATTAACTGGGATTTTGTTGTAGAAGCGTATACACCGTCCCATGAACGAGTTACTGACTCTATGGAGTCTAGTAACTGGCGTTAGCATAAGGTGAGCCGCCAGCTCGTTTGCCACTTTTTCACATCTCACATCGAAAACTTGTACAGTTCATCTGACGTTAAGTGATAGCCGCCGCCCATGGACGACTCACCAGACGAAACGAGAAAATATAATACCAGTTCACACTGATCTTCTGTGAGTATGTGGTACTTCCCAGGACGATCCCGCTGATTCGTGTAACAGTCTGACAGCAATAAGGACCTACCACTTAAAATAATATTAAATCATACGTCACTGAACGTTACCTATCTAAAGTTCTAAAAATTTTTATGTTTCATCGTAAGTGCGGAGATTAGAATTACTATATCAATCTATACAGATAAATAAGATTGGAGTGTCTGTTTGTAATATGAAATGCATCTGGATGGTATAAACGGAACATAATTACTGAAATATTTTTTTTAACAATTTTTGTCAGTCTGTCTGTTTGTTCCGGCTAATCTCTGAAACGCCGGGACCGATTTTGACGGAACTTTCACTGGCACATATCTGATGTTAAGAAGTAACATTAGACTTTCTTAATTTTTTTTTATAATGCTAATATCTGCGATTAATGCTATAATCTGGATTTCGTTATTTTTCTACAATTTTCAATTTCTTAAATTACAAAAAAATCTATGCGGACGAAGTCGCGAGCACAGCTGGTTTAATATAAAATTTAAACTCCCTCTTTGTTGTTCCCAGCCGAGCCATGAGTCATATGGTGACGCGCAAGGGGCCTGTAGGGGACGATAAGGACAAGGTGAGTATTCCGGAATTTCCGTTATCAGTAGACGCTTCGTTGCTTTTAAAAGTAGAGCTAAACTATCTACTGTTTGTTTGGCTATGATCTTATCAAGGCTTAGTGAATTGTATAGTTACGACCATTGTGTACAATAGATCGATCTTGTACTTAAAAAGCGACCTTGAGAATTTATTTTATTTCTCTGGTATCAAGCGTGAGTGGCAGAGCTAGGAGAGTTATATTTATACTTATTACTAGTAACAGTGTATTTGTGGGTAAGTTTTAATTAAAAGAAGCTCCTATTACGCACGACAATATTTGATGATCTTATAGTAGGCTATTGTTTTTTCTGATTCACATAAGTTGCTAACATCGGGTGGGTTTGTTCCAAAAATCGACCTCATTTTTTGCTCATAAACCAATTATTACGAGTACTTGTATAATCTCATTATAAATTGCAAAAAATGTGTTTATCGTTTGGTTGATTCATGTGGTGTTTATTTTAGAGACGTGTGAGTTGTATTTATCATACCTTTGTTTTTTTAGCTTTATTCATAAGAATTCATTTCATTCATTAATTGTAATAAGAACTCTAGAAATAGTAGCAAATATCGTATAATATCTTATATAGCAGTAAATTAATAAATGTATCTCTTACTTTTACAGCGACAGACAGACAGTCCTGTTAAAGAGATGAAGAAGAAAATAGCTGCGAACGCAGAGAAGGAGAAGCTTGCGGCGGAAAAGCACGACAAAGCGACGGACAAAAGCGAGAAGGCAGTTGAAAAATCTGGTGACAAAAAAGATAAAAGTGCAGAGAAGCACGCAGAAAAAGGTACTGAAAAGAAAGACAAAAGCGCAGAGAAACAGGGAGAGAAGCCGTTAGAGAAAAAAGATAAGAACGCGGAGAAAAACGCCGAGAAAAACGTGGAGAAGCCAGTAGAGAAGAAAGATAAAAGTGTAGACAAAAGTTTAGAAAAATCAACAGAGAAGAAAGATAAGAGTGTAGACAAAAGCTTAGAAAAATCAACAGAGAAGAAAGATAAAAGTGTGGACAAAAGTTTAGAAAAACCAACAGATAAGAAAGATAAACCGAGCGAAAAGGTTTCTGATAAAAAGGAAAAAGCCGATAAGAAGGAAGTTCCCGATAAGACGAAAGAGGATGTCAAGGCTGCGGAGAAGAGTGGAAAGGTATTTAAAAAAAAACTTAAAAAGGTAAAACGGTTGACGACCCGAATGGCGTAGTTGGTAGTGTACCTGCCTCCTGTGCCAGAGGGTGTGGGTTCGATCCCCACTACTGGAAAAATATTGTGTGATACACAATATTTATATAGTGTTTTTCTAGTGTCTGGGTGTTTCTATATGTATAATATGTATTTATTTACAAAAGAAAAGTATGTTTAAGTATGTTTATCAGTAGTCTAGTACCCATAGTACAAGCTTTGCTTAGTTTGGGACTGGAAAATGTTGTGTAAAAAATATTATAACAGGCGGACAAGCCGGAGAAGGCCAAGCTGAACGGCGCGGCGGCCAACGGCGCGGCCAGCTCGTCGGACGACGACGAGCTGGTGATCGTGGAGCAGCCCGAGGACAACGACGAGATGTTCCCCGAGCTGGCCTACGACGACAACTCGGACGCGGACGGCTCCGAGGGCGGGGACGCGGCCGCCAGGAGCCTCACCAGGCGCTCGCAGGTGGGCTGCGCCTCAATTGCTCAATGTCGATGAGCTAAGAGTCGTTAGTTACATAGTCATTATGAAGTCGTCACAACGAGTTATGTAACTGACGGCCGTTCGTTAAATATAGGAACCGGGCAAAAATCGGCCCCTTTCGATATTCTATCTACTGATAGATTTGGTTACTGGAGATGGAATTTAATAACTATCGCCAGTACCAAAAATCTATCTGTAGATACAATATTGAAACAGTACTTATATCACACCTCACCTTGCGCTCGTTTGTGAAACATGCAGCGAAAGCTGATTGGAACTTTGCCCCGGCAAATTCATAGTTCGCTAAGCCGTATATCGGCTATGGTGTTACGATTTATTAATAGTAAAACATCGACGTTTACACCCATCTTACGATTAGTCGACCTTTTTGTGATGCTTTAAATACTAAATTGCTAAAACCCTTCGGGTGTATTTGTTATCATAAGGGAAACCAATCAGCATGTCCACTCTTTTTACCCATATACCATTTGTTTGTTCCGGTGATTGTGCACACTTGTGTTCCCCGTCGTAGTATCCCCATTCCTTGTCAGTTCCATAGTTGTTTTAAAAGAGCTCGGACACCGTGCGACAATCGGGCGACTACAATAAACTTAGAGTTGGAGCCATCAACACGATTCGATGCTGCTACGTAACTACAAAATCTGTTATATCGAAGTGTAGTAGGGATTCCCCCATTTGCTTGCTGGTTGTCGCCCGGTGGGCGGAGTGGCGTTGGTAAATCGGAACGGTGGTCGGACCGTGGCTAACCGGGCGCGGGCCTGTTCCGGCCAGGTGAAGGCGACCCGCACGCCGGAGACGCCGCGCCCCGTCTCCGCCGCGCCCCACCAGCGCGACACCGACCACGTGAGTCTCACGCTCGCACTCATTCACTCACTCACTCACGCACCCACCCACTCACTCACTCACGCACCCACTCACTCACGCACTCACTCACGCACCCACTAACTCACTTGCTCAGCCATTCACTCACGCACCCCATTAATTCACTCACGCTCCCACTCACTCACTTGCTCTGCCACTCACTGACGCACCTATTCACTCACGCACCCCATTAATTCACTCACGCACCCCATTAATACACTCACGCACCCCATTAATTCACTCACGCACCCACTCACTCACTTGCTCTGCCACTCACTGACGCACCTATTCACTCACGCACCCCATTAATTCACTCACGCACCCCATTAATTCGCTCACGCACCCACTCACTCACTTGCTCTGCCACTCACTGACGCACCTATTCACTCAGGCACCCTATTAATTCACTCACGCACCCACTCACTTGCTCTGCCACTCACTGACGCACCTATTCACTCACGCACCCCATTAATTCACTCACGCACCCACTCACTCACTTGCTCTGCCACTCACTGACGCACCTATTCACTCACGCACCCCATTAATTCACTCACGCACCCACTCACTTGCTCAGCCACTCACTGACGCACCTATTCACTCACGCACCCCATTAATTCACTCACGCACCCCATTAATTCACTCACGCACCCACTCACTTGCTCTGCCACTCACTGACGCACCTATTCACTCAGGCACCCTATTAATTCACTCACGCACCCACTCACTTGCTCTGCCACTCACTGACGCACCTATTCACTCACGCACCCCATTAATTCACTCACGCACCCACTCACTTGCTCTGCCACTCACTGACGCACCTATTCACTCAGGCACCCTATTAATTCCACTCACGCACCCACTCACTTGCTCTGCCACTCACTGACGCACCTATTCACTCACGCACCCCATTAATTCACTCACGCACCCCATTAATTCGCTCACGCACCCACTCACTCACTTGCTCTGCCACTCACTGACGCACCTATTCACTCAGGCACCCTATTAATTCACTCACGCACCCACTCACTTGCTCTGCCACTCACTGACGCACCTATTCACTCACGCACCCCATTAATTCACTCACGCACCCACTCACTCACTTGCTCTGCCACTCACTGACGCACCTATTCACTCACGCACCCCATTAATTCACTCACGCACCCACTCACTTGCTCAGCCACTCACTGACGCACCTATTCACTCAGGCACCCTATTAATTCACTCACGCACCCACCTTGCTCTGCCACTCACTGACGCACCTATTCACTCAGGCACCCTATTAATTCACTCACGCACCCACTCACTTGCTCTGCCACTCACTGACGCACCTATTCACTCACGCACCCCATTAATTCACTCACGCACCCCATTAATTCGCTCACGCACCCACTCACTCACTTGCTCTGCCACTCACTGACGCACCTATTCACTCAGGCACCCTATTAATTCACTCACGCACCCACTCACTTGCTCAGCCACTCACTGACGCACCTATTCACTCAGGCACCCTATTAATTCACTCACGCACCCACCTTGCTCTGCCACTCACTGACGCACCTATTCACTCAGGCACCCTATTAATTCACTCACGCACCCACTCACTTGCTCTGCCACTCACTGACGCACCTATTCACTCAGGCACCCTATTAATTCACTCACGCACCCACTCACTTGCTCTGCCACTCACTGACGCACCTATTCACTCAGGCACCCTATTAATTCACTCACGCACCCACTCACTTGCTCTGCCACTCACTGACGCACCTATTCACTCAGGCACCCTATTAATTCACTCACGCACCCACTCACTTGCTCTGCCACTCACTGACGCACCTATTCACTCACGCACCCCATTAAATTCACTCACGCACCCACTCACTTGCTCTGCCACTCACTGACGCACCTATTCACTCAGGCACCCTATTAATTCACTCACGCACCCACTCACTTGCTCTGCCACTCACTGACGCACCTATTCACTCACGCACCCCATTAATTCACTCACGCACCCCATTAATTCGCTCACGCACCCACTCACTCACTTGCTCTGCCACTCACTGACGCACCTATTCACTCAGGCACCCTATTAATTCACTCACGCACCCACTCACTTGCTCTGCCACTCACTGACGCACCTATTCACTCACGCACCCCATTAATTCACTCACGCACCCACTCACTCACTTGCTCTGCCACTCACTGACGCACCTATTCACTCACGCACCCCATTAATTCACTCACGCACCCACTCACTTGCTCAGCCACTCACTGACGCACCTATTCACTCAGGCACCCTATTAATTCACTCACGCACCCACCTTGCTCTGCCACTCACTGACGCACCTATTCACTCAGGCACCCTATTAATTCACTCACGCACCCACTCACTTGCTCTGCCACTCACTGACGCACCTATTCACTCACGCACCCCATTAATTCACTCACGCACCCCATTAATTCGCTCACGCACCCACTCACTCACTTGCTCTGCCACTCACTGACGCACCTATTCACTCAGGCACCCTATTAATTCACTCACGCACCCACTCACTTGCTCAGCCACTCACTGACGCACCTATTCACTCAGGCACCCTATTAATTCACTCACGCACCCACCTTGCTCTGCCACTCACTGACGCACCTATTCACTCAGGCACCCTATTAATTCACTCACGCACCCACTCACTTGCTCTGCCACTCACTGACGCACCTATTCACTCAGGCACCCTATTAATTCACTCACGCACCCACTCACTTGCTCTGCCACTCACTGACGCACCTATTCACTCAGGCACCCTATTAATTCACTCACGCACCCACTCACTTGCTCTGCCACTCACTGACGCACCTATTCACTCAGGCACCCTATTAATTCACTCACGCACCCACTCACTTGCTCTGCCACTCACTGACGCACCTATTCACTCACGCACCCCATTAATTCACTCACGCACCCACTCACTCACTTGCTCTGCCACTCACTGACGCACCTATTCACTCACGCACCCCATTAATTCACTCACGCACCCACTCACTTGCTCAGCCACTCACTGACGCACCTATTCACTCACGCACCCCATTAATTCACTCACGCACCCACTCACTCACTTTGCTCTGCCACTCACTGACGCACCTATTCACTCACGCACCCCATTAATTCACTCACGCACCCACTCACTTGCTCAGCCACTCACTGACGCACCTATTCACTCAGGCACCCTATTAATTCACTCACGCACCCACCTTGCTCTGCCACTCACTGACGCACCTATTCACTCAGGCACCCTATTAATTCACTCACGCACCCACTCACTTGCTCTGCCACTCACTGACGCACCTATTCACTCACGCACCCCATTAATTCACTCACGCACCCACTCACTCACTTGCTCTGCCACTCACTGACGCACCTATTCACTCACGCACCCCATTAATTCACTCACGCACCCACTCACTTGCTCAGCCACTCACTGACGCACCTATTCACTCACGCACCCCATTAATTCACTCACGCACCCACATCACTCACTTGCTCTGCCACTCACTGACGCACCTATTCACTCACGCACCCCATTAATTCACTCACGCACCCACTCACTTGCTCAGCCACTCACTGACGCACCTATTCACTCAGGCACCCTATTAATTCACTCACGCACCCACCTTGCTCTGCCACTCACTGACGCACCTATTCACTCAGGCACCCTATTAATTCACTCACGCACCCACTCACTTGCTCTGCCACTCACTGACGCACCTATTCACTCAGGCACCCCATTAATTCACTCACTCACGCAACCCACTCACTTGCTCTGCCACTCACTGACGCACCTATTCACTCACGCACCCATTAATTCACTCACGCACCCACTCACTCACTTGCTCTGCCACTCACTGACGCACCTATTCACTCACGCACCCCATTAATTCACTCACGCACCCACTCACTTGCTCAGCCACTCACTGACGCACCTATTCACTCACGCACCCCATTAATTCACTCACGCACCCACTCACTCACTTGCTCTGCCACTCACTGACGCACCTATTCACTCAGGCACCCTATTAATTCACTCACGCACCCCACTCACTTGCTTGCCACTCACTGACGCACCTATTCACTCACGCACCCCATTAATTCACTCACGCACCCACTCACTTGCTCTGCCACTCACTGACGCATCTATTCACTCACGCACCCCCTTAATTCACTCACGCACCCCCTTAATTCACTCACGCACCCACTCACTCACGCATCCACTATCTAATGCACCCACTCTCTCACGCACCCACCCACTCCCGTACCCACTCACTCCCGTATGCAGCCACCCACTCACTTACGCATCTACTCCCACAGCCACTCGCGCCCAAACAAACATGTTCGATTGCTAGAAATCATTGCATGTAATCGAAACTAATAATACCATTAGACTCAATACTACATAAAACAAGTTTTTTTTAGATGATGGTTATTCACGATTTATATAATAAAGAGGAAGACATTTTTTTACAAGCACAGACCAACAGAGCCTACGCACAATTATGTATAACATAACAGCACGCATCTAAAGTGGCACATAACGTTCACAACTAAATGGTCGTTTGGCTTAAGCACTAATAGGAATTAATAGATATAATTTGCACCGCAACTAGCGTCACTAACACCTTTGAACCTGAAATATGCATGACCCTACCCTAGCATGGCGGTTAGCATGGAACATTTTAAAAAATATATATTTTTACGTTAATAGGTTAACATACGTAATTTTAAAATGAACGCGTGAGAACGTGGAATACTTATTTTACGATTTGAAAAGAACGGGCCACGGATATCTCGCTCATCGGGTGTTACGCGAAAGTATAAGAATTACACTTAACACACTTAACTTAAATTACACTGGTCTTTTGTTAGTTAGGTCGAGGTACTTCCCGGGACGAGCTTACTCTACGAGTGGTCGTATTAGGAGTAACGTGTATGTATTGTATAATCTGGGAGTCCTTATCGATCTAACTCTCGATTAACAAAGATAAATCTAGCCAGACAAAAGTACGGAACTGGTATGCCAGACGTCCATCTACTTCGACAGGCCACGGCCAAAGTGAAATAGACTCTATGTAAAGCATTCTGCTCTACGTAACCGTCGATATTGACTCTATTGAGCGTCAATAGATGGCGTTGAGTCTTAATTCTAATCGAAACTAATTCCGACAAAGGCATGACTTTTAAAATAGGTGTTGTGACGCCATTGGAATTTGTAGATTCGCCGCCGCGAGAATCGAACCCGCGTCTTCTGCCTAACACTTTAGCCGCTAAGCCTTAACGCCTGATTATCACGCCGACGAAATCAAAAAACATCTCTAATATCACCTCGCGTAAGTAACGAACGCAGGAACAATCTAATTACATTAAAGTATAAATAAGTTAAATCCTTGATGTCGGATTTATGTTGTTTTATAAAAAAAAAACAAAATTGTGAATCTAATCCATTCTTTGTAGGTATTATGCATATAAACCTTCCTCTTGAATCACTCTATCTAGAAAAAAAAACCGCATCAAGATCCGTTGCTTAGTTTTAAAGATGTAAGCATACATAGGGACAGCATTGCTTTGTCGTTTTAGCAGTCGAAGGAGCCGAAGCTGCTGAGACTGAAGGAGGAATCCGACCGGTGGCTCCGCTCGTCCGACTCGCCGAAGCCCCCGTCGGAGGGCGAAGCGCCCGCCGCGGCCCCGGAGGCGCCGGGGGGCGGAGCGCCCGAGCGCCAGCACGCCCTCCGCGCCCCGGAGCTGCTCGTCGAGGTGGAGCGCCTCGAAGGTGAGCCTCACTTTATTAAAAGGCTACGGGTGTGCCAAATGTCCACGGGTAGCGACTATCACTTGACATCAGATGAATCGTTGTTACATAAGATTAATTTGATCTGCTTCCGTTTAGCTTGCTATTGGAAGTCTGTTAAATATAACTTTTTTTCAATTTCCCTCAATTCTTCGCTCCACTTGTCTCGGGACGATGCGGGTATAAAATCTTTAGGACAAAGCGCGTCCAGAATTTAAAGGAATTAACAGTAAAGGCGGTGACAATTTCCGTCATGAAATGTGATCATAAAATTTATATTTTAAAGTGGCTCTTGTCAATAAACTCGGTTTTTGATCGTCATTTAGAATCATTTAAAGCTATAGTTCATTGAATAAGAACAAATATTTTATTATATTCAAATTATAAAACTGTTACTCTAGGTATTGTTTCAGTAAGTAATAATCTAGTTAATTGTAAATCGAGATTTTGAGAACTTCAAAATGTTTAACACATATTGCGCCATCTGTTTTATAAAATTGTACATTGTGGTATTTAGTTTGTGGTAGATTAATACAGGGAAATATCTATTTAACTGATATGGTCAGTTAGATAATGGAGCCGTTCGGAAGAACGGTGGTGGTGAAGTAATGGAATATTCACTATTGTAAGGAAAATTTGCAAAAAAGAAAACACTTATAAAAAATGTTACGAACAAGAAATACGTCAGTTACAGTTAGATTTACCATTAATTTCCGCACTACTCGAGTGCTAACGAATAATCGATTTACCTGATAGAGTTCCATCTTTATATAGATGGAGGTAGCTTGTCTATCGGAACCACAACCGTGAACCATAGACCATAATCATAAAATTTTGATCATCTGTTACACTATAATAATTGAGATAATAACACTAATGGGCTGTTTCCATAATAGGATCGCGTCTCAGTAATCGTAGGAATGATAGAACATGTAGTCGTGATGGGTGGCAGTGGTCGGTGGGCCGTGTCGTAGTAGCAAAGAGTAAAATGTGGTCGTGGTGAAGTAGAGAAAATATACTAGATTATATAGAAGAGAAAATATATTAGTAATTAAATAGTTACTAATATCATTTTCTCTTTAGGTTGTTGTCCAAAAAAATATATTTCAATTATATCTATCTCTAATATATCGCACTTACGGATCTCTGTGTCGGATTCGAATTTGAAATAAAAAAAAATCGTTATCGACATCGATTTTCGATATCGAATATATTGCATCGATATATCGTATTGCGAAACATCGGTGGCGCCGTGGTCGGGCGGGGGGGGGGGGGGAGAGGTGGTGGTGGTGGTGGTGGCGGCGGGGCAGGCCGACGGTATGTGTAGTGTGATGGTGGTCGGCAGAGGGCGAGGCGCGGCGCGACACTCGGTTCTCTCGCTCCCGCGTCAAGGTCTCGCCCTACCGGCGCAGCGCCCGCCTTCAGGACAACGCCTCGCACACCTCGCTGCTCGCCAACTACACGGGTGGGTACCGTCGTACACCCGAATGGCGCAGTGGGTACTGTACCCGCCTCCTGCGCCAGGGTTGCGGTATATGTGACATGTATTTATTTACCAAAGAAAAATATGTTTATCACTTATCTAGTACCGATAGTACAAGCGTTGCTTAGTTTGGGACGAGAGGACGTTGTTTAAAAATGTGTCCTAAATTGCTTAGGAGTGCCGTTTTAATGTTAACGCGGTATGAGTAGTGAAAATAGGTTCTTCTTAACAGTAAAGTAAAGTAAGACCCTATGAATGTCCCACTGCTGGGCAAAGGCCTCCTCTGTACAGAGGATATCAGGGCATAGTCCATCACGCGACCCCACTGCGGATTGGCGGACTTCGCATTTTTCAAAATGTTTTGCTTAAACCGCTTAGCACATGATAAGTCAGCATTTAAAATTAGCAATTTCAATGGTGCCGGTACCGGACTGGAACTCAGGTCGCTCGAGTATGTTGAATTAAAGACGAGTTTTACAAGTACCCATACGGTGTTCAACATTTAGTTGGGAATTGTATTATTAAATTTTAAACAAAAGTTGTACTGACGACACTCGCAGCCATACCTCACACAGAACCTGTTCTATTTGACGTTTAAACAACATCTGGATTGGTCGCTAAAAGAACTTGTTCGCTTTAGAATCGCTCTACTATGAACCGAAATGAAATATAACGATTCCCCGCAGGCAACAACACCACCATGGAGATGGACATAACGGAGTCGTCGATGGCGTCGGAGGGCGGGGGCTCCCCGCCGCCGTCGCCGTCGCCCGACGACAGCTACCTGAGCGCGCTGCGCGCGATCCGCGGCCGCCGCTCCTACAAGCCGGCCCACGCCCACGCCCAGCCGCACGCGCGCGCCCACGCCGCCTACGTGCAGGCGCAGGCCCACGCCCACGCCCACGCGCAGGCCGCCAGCGCGGCGGCCAGCCTCTCCGCCGCCACCGCCACGGCTGGTGCGCTATTATGTGCCGTGTTCTAGTTCGGAATGTGCTCCAATTAAGAGTGGTTATAAATCGACGAAAATAGTAATTCATTTGTAAATATCAAATAGTATGTTTGTTCCTAATGAATACTTTTTTTTTTTAAACATTACTTACTTTTGAATGTTGAGCTTTATCTTTTGTTGTAAGGACGTTTTATAAACATAAATTTCACGCGGACAAACACCCAGATGCGAAACAACTATTTGTGGGTCACACAAATAGTTGTCCCGTGTGGGAATCGAACCCACGACCCCAGACGCCGAAGCCAATACCTCGGCCACTGCGCCACGGAGTCATCAAGAAGAGTTTGAGCACTCAAGTTTGAGGAAGGCGCAACATGCTTTTTAAAGAGACACCAAATCGATTTTAGTATTTAATGTTAATTAAAAAATACAAGTGAGTGATATTTAACGTCGTTCTCGTTAATAAGGAGAGTTAACGTCCAATTACGTTTAATATAAACTATCCATACAACTAAATTTAACACTAAAAGATCGAGGGCTGGAACTGCTGCCTCTGCATTTTCGTCATCGTCGAAACATTCCACTTCGCGTACTATGTGTGGGAACCGCGGGCGCTAACTAAGCAATATTGAGGAACAAAGGGCCAGGAAAGGGTGCAGATCGTGTAACTAAGCTGACAATATATATGTATATTTAAACAAACATATACAATATTAACCTTGCAAAGATACTGTGGAATATTGGAGTAAAATACATAAAACCACATAAAAACGGTGATAGGGCCACGCGATAATGTTAACTGTCGCACGGATCGGCAGACCCGTACGGGTAAGTGCCACGACCCCACAGAAGAGCGGCGTCAAGTGGAAGTGTTATAGTTGTGCGCTTTGTCCGGTGAGTGAGGTAGCCGGGGCTCACTTTATTAGTAATAGGTGGCAACGCAAACCCTACGGGTGTTCCAAATATCCATGTGATGGGCATTTTCTCGCATAAAAGAAAGCGATCGTTGTAACGTCCGTTGCACGCGACAGGTCGCGAGGGGGCCGCCCGGCCGACGGGCACCGTGGTGGGGCGCAAGCGGCGGCCCGACGCGGAGGGCGGGGCGGAGGGCGGGGCGGTTGGGGCGGAGGGCGCGGGGGCGGAGGCGCCCAAGCGCGCGCGCCTGCTGGAGCGGCTGGCGCGCCCCTTCCGCGCCCACTCCACGCCGCTGCCGGCCAGGCGCGCCGCCGAGGTGCGCCTCCACTGTGCTCGACCCTTCGACCACCCGCTGGGCACTTACGACCACACCACTTACAACCGCCTCCCCACCTCTTTAAAACAATTCACTCCACCTAACGAGCCCGTTTCTTAAGACTTTTCTAAGTAACGCGCTCGTACCCCTACCATGTTTCCGACTGACGCCTCCCTATTTCTTATTACATTCCTTCCTGAAGCCCCCGTTTCTTACCGTGCTCCTTCGTTGTCATGTTACCAACAGACACCTTTATTCCCTACCATTCTCTTTTCTTTGAAGCATCCCCATAACTAAGTGTGTCCTTACCATTTTCTTCCAAAATACTCTCATTAACTACCGCGTTCTTATCTAAAACCCACATCCCTAACTATGATCCTACCTGACATCCATATTTCTTACTATGCTCCTACCTAATACTCGCATAACTTACATTCTTTCAATGAATCACACCATTACTTACCATGTTCCTACCTTACAACTACATGTCTTCCCCATGTTCCTATTAACCACCCTCATTCCTAACTATTTTTCTGCCTTACCCCAAATCCCTTACCATGTTCCTAAATTGCAACCTTTAACGGCTCAATTAACGTTATCAATAGTAGACTTGTCCCTTCCATCTCCCTCAGAAGGTTTGGGTTTGATCACCGGTACTTTGCTATAGACAAATATTGTGTAATGAACATAAAAGGACAACACACCACTAGATGGAGTGACAACCTGTGCAAGTGTGCGGAAAGTCGATGGATGCAGGTGGCTCAGGCTCGTGCGTCATGGCAGTCTATGGGGAAGTTCAGTATTGGACTCGAACAGACTGAAATGATGATGATGAACATTATGTTTTTCTAGTGTTCCTGATACTAGAAAAGTATGTACTTATAAATCTATAATATGTATTTATTTACCAAAAAAAAAGATATTGATATTATAATAGGATATTTATTGATTACTTTGTACCCATTGTATTGTATTTTGTGTAGGAGTTGGGTATTAACTTTTAAGGACCACTGCAGCCTAAAAGATCTATTGAGGTCTTCCCTTCAAAAACATTGCCCCTTAAAATGACATTATCCTGTGTTGCAAGAACATTTTACATGCATACATTTCACATGGACAAACACCCAGATCCAAAAGTCTTTAGGGTCACACAAACAACTGCGCCGCGGAATCCATGGTACGAGCCAAGCTTAGTTTGAGACTAGATAATACTGTGTAAAAGTATGTCCATAAAAAAAAAAACAGTGTTGCCAATCTCGTCCACAGATCGTGGGCATAAACACGGACCTGCCGCTGAGCGCGCCCGTCGCCGCCGCCGATTCGTTCGACCCGGAGACGATCAAGCCCACGCCCACGCCCACTGCCGGCGCCACGCCCACGCCCACGCTGGGCGCCGCGCCCACGCCCACGCCCACCGCCGACCGCGACTCGAAGCGCTGCGTCGTCATGTAACGGGCCGCTGCCCACAGACCCCTTTTGAGTTCTTTACAACGTATATATACAAATACACGCCGCATGTACGAACACTTTGTGCCCAAGAGGGTTTCCGTTTGCCAATGCTGAATACAACTCCGTCTGTGACGGATCGACACTGACACTGGGAATAGGTAGTTGACGTTACGTTACGAAAATAAATAGGTTCAAGAACTAACAGTCTTCGGACAAATACATAGCATGTTTGTGAAAGTTATCGTTGTAACAAAACGCGACGTGAGTCGAACACGGACGTTACAATTAAACTCTATCCTTCCATCCAACGGTCTGTCAAGTTTACAAACGTTTTCAATTGAGTCTTTCCCTCTCCGTGGTGGAACAACGGAAAGTTACAAGATGAGCTCCTTTAAAAGCGTAACCAAATGAAATGTGCTGCAAAATATAGTTCAAATAGTTATTATTAACGGTAATATAGCTGCTATGCGGACACGGATGTAGGAAAAGTAGATAATCTAATAGTCTTACATAGTGGTAATCAAATTTTCTAAGTGTATGGTAACGATTCATCATTCTTTATAATCGACGCTATGTGTTTTGACAGCACAATCTTATTTTTCATTTGAATGATTTGTTGAATAATTGTGGAATCAGAGCTAGTGTTGTAGTTTTTTTTTTACTGAATCAAGACTGCGATGGCAATTTTCGATGTGTACATAAGTTTTGCAATAATTGATTATCATTTTATGAAAATATAGTTTCAAGGAAAATTATCTTATGATAAATCCACTGTATGCAAAATATTTTGAGGTAATCATTGAAAGGAAATTATCTCGAGGTATTAAGTCTGATCAAATTACACCATGAAATCACTGTAAAAAGATTATTTTGAGGCAATCACTAAGAAAAATCTACAAAAATTATATTACTAAAACTTTTAAGAAGAATGTTTGGAAAATATTGAAGTATTCATTCTACAGAAATTTTCTATATCATTGAAAGGTAATTATTTTCTTGAAATCACTTAGACGATAATAACGTCACTGATTTTAATGTAGCTATTATTGAATAGAATCAATAGGAACAGATTTAGATATAAATTATTATAAGGCATCATCGAGGCAATGGAACACAGCTTTGCTCTCGAGATGGCCAGAATTTAAAAAAAACTTTTTTTTTTTTAAGTTTGAACCTCAAGACCGCAAGAGGTCATTTTAACCGAGCGACGTGTTTTTAATCAAGTTTTTAACCATGTGACTATTTTAATTTTTTTTTTAATTAACGGGGAAAGACTAAATGGCGCTCAATGGAGAAACAAAGGAGAAACAATTAACGCTACGGTAGCATTAAATTCGTTAAATTGCGAAGTTCAGTCTTTTTAACACTCAATGTGACAATTAACGAATTCTGCGCAAGTTATTCTGAAGGACACTGCAAGCTGCTTTATTGAAAAAAATTATTCAAATATGGTCCCATTTTCCACTTGTTCAAATAAATTTTATAAAATTTAAAATAAATTTGCTTCTAGTTCTAGCCCAATTTTCAAAAGGTTGTCAACGCATCTGTAACCCTCGGGTGTGGCAGATGTCCATGGGCGGCGGGATTCACTTACCATCATCGTGCTCATTTGACAACTTGTCACATAAAAAAAATAGTTACAATCTCGTTGTAATAATCTTGCAATCTTACAACAACAATCAACTGTTTACATTGAAAATACTTCTTTTAAGATTCCGTTGCATTCAGACACTCGCACCGTTGTGGACGAGGGATGTTAATAATACTGCGTTTATTATAAACAATAACCGGTTATATATCAGAAAGCGATATAAGTGTACCATTTTATTTATTCATAATTATTTTTTTATGAATGTTTTTCTATCTCTCTCACTCCTATATTTGTGAAAGAGAGGGGCCTATATTAGTCTTTCTCCGCAAATGCCTCGTGCAATGCAGCTTTTGTGTTATGACTTGTTGCAAATAACAAAAAAAAAACTTTAATAGAATTTAAGAATATTCCACCTTAAAAATATGTTTAAGAATATTCCACCTATTGTTTTATATAAAAATAAATTGTTTAAATGGCAACAGGTTTGTCGTACATCTAAAGAATATTCCACCTATTGTTTTATATAAAAATAAATTGTTTAAATGGCAACAGGTTTGTCGTACATCTAAAGAAAATAAAATAATTCGAATCAAGTTGGATGTAGTTATAAATTATTCCGCAACTGGTCTTAACACAACTGAGCATGGCCTAGTTTGTAAGTTTTTCTGTTTAAATAAAGTAGTAAGTAAAAAGTATCCAGAGGAGAAGGAAATGGGCTCTGAGCAATGTTGCATAAAGCATGGTAGCGTAGAAAGTCAGTCTCGATTATTATAGTAGGGTTCTGTATGTCCTCTGATAGTTGGAAAATAGTGGAATTGAATACAATCATAAATTTGGGCATCCATTGATTAGGGTGCCTCATTTTTTTAATCTATTCAACTGAACCATCGCTAAAGAAGGATAAACATTAAAAATGATTGCATTCTTTACAGAGGAAACAACATACATATAGAAACGCATTCAACGACAGCTGCTAAGGTTTTGGCTATTGATTGAATGCATTTCCTTTTTTGTTGTTATCTTTGATGATGTCGACATTTGAACAGCGAAGACATAAAAGCATTACAAATACCATAGATTGGGTTCTCTAACACATCTAAATCTACATCTGAATTCCGTACACCCAATAAATATTTGCGTGTTGTTGTTTGTTATATTTGTTCTCACATCATATCGGTTTGCTTTTTAATCCGTGACGTGTCGGGATTTCGCTTCTAGTTTTTCGCACATCGAGAGTATCGCTCTCTCCCTCCCACCACAGTCCCGATGATATTCCGTCTCGCTCGCACGAGACGATGCCACATGATGTTATGGGTATTTGCTTTGTTGAACCACTGAGCACGAGTGTACCCGCGCAAATACTTCTCTCATTCGTCGCGTTATATTTGATTTCACAGTACAGCTGCTTTTTTAATATGTGACGCCAAGCTCGCTCGAGTCTGCGCAATAAACGGGCAGTATTGCTCTCTCGCTCGCGCCCAGTCACAATGGTTTTCCATCTCGCTCCCACGACACGCTGCTACGGTCGCAAATAAAGTTGCTTTTCGACTTTTCTAGTTATTAGAGCTTTGTTGAGCCACTTTGCACGATATTACCTACTCGAGTAAATACTTCGTTTATCCCATTTGTGCTTTGTAACTCGTATTTGTGTTCTCTCATTTGTCCGTCGACGGCCCAAACGTGTCACGTATTTGCGACAGGGCTGTCACGTCTGGACCGTTTTGTCATCCTATAGTAATTGCCCAATGGTTTTCAAATCATGCCAGTTAGGAGATCATGACAATAAAATTGGACCACCGATATAATATGCCATATCCTTTTTTTACGTTCACCAACAAGCCCCACCACAAGATAATTTTGATTGACTTTGTTGAGAAAGTTCTAGGAATAATTGGTTTTCATTACTATAGAATATTGTGAGTTTAATAAATGATTCCGCTATGATCATCTGTTTAAATAATTAAGAGACATTGTTTTTTTGTAAAAAGGGAATTTGATGTATTGAAAATCTTTTATACTATGTGTAAAACACATAGCTAATTTTCCAAACCGTATGCAAAATAGAACCAAATCACAAAAACATACTTTAGGGAAAATCATGTTAAGGTAATAATGTTTTATTGAATTGGTTCCAATATCTTTTTTTCATGTCTTTAATTAATTAATATAATTACTAAATTCAACTTATGATAAGCGTCTGAAATTTTTGTCCAAATTTATGAATTTAAACTGAGATGCACACTCATGTTGTATTCAAACTAAAATAGATCTTTAGTTTGCCACGGACTAGAAAAATAACAGGACTCCGCGCAGTATCAAAAGTGAAGTATAGTAAGTAAGCTGGACCGTTTGTAAATGTGCCTCACGCACTAATGCGTTTATTTCGGTACTGTTTACGTTACTGTTATTTTTTTAGTCGATGTATATAGTTTGCGTTGATAACACCTGAGATCTATGTAACAAGCTACCAAATACGATCAAAGAAATCATACAAAAATCTGCAATGTTTTTATCTATCTGCTATCGTTTCTCGTTAAAAGTGGGATATTAATAAAATATGCATTTTATTAAACAGGGAAAAATTTGTTGTAGATTTTGACTTTTTTCCGTTTGTCCATGTTTCTATAAATTTTGTGTTGTGCTTCTACGCTATTTGTATACAATTCTAAATGTATGTTCAATATTACAGTACTTGTAAACAAATTATATTTTAAACTGTACTGTGTCTCTACAAGGAAAAAATGAATGCGACATGAAACGTAATGTCGTATTGTTCAATATGCTGATGTGATTCAGTAAATTTTATTACACAACACTTTAGTAGAACAAAAATGATGTATTGTTATCGTTCTGTATATCGATGTATCTACTTGTAGTATTAATTTTGAAGAGCATTGTTAGAATGAAGTATTGTGGAGGACTGCATACGAAAAGCTTCTGATATACTATAATTAATTTGCTGGAGGTGGTCTAATGACCCCGAGACGTTTGGATTAGGAAAGAGCGCAGGTTCGAATCCCAGTTTTGTGGACCGTTCAGTACGCTGTCTTGTGCAGGACGATCCGCACTCACAGTCAATTACCACTTAATTAGCATTAAATTAATCGATTTCAAAAAAACTTTCAATTCATTACGATGTTTACGAATTGCACATGACCGATTCTAATGATAGTCGAGTACTAATTGAAGTTTATGGGTGTGGCTGTAAGTGATTAAATTATGTAATGATTTGGTATTACGGGATTCGTTCAAACGGTTGGTTCAGTAGTTAAGCTGTGGGCTGCAGCTAGGGTTGCCAACCATACTTTATAAATAACGTATACCACTTAATTTTTGGCACACACATTAAACTTTTGCATAAAATAAAGTATGTGAAAATACTGTATTTCCGGTAGTTTTTCATTATCCT